CGACCCGCTTATGACCACATTCATGTCCCGCGGGGGTCGGGACCCACGCAAGGGCGTGGAATGTGGCTTCAAGGGAGCCCAAGACTGCTAGACGCCATCGGGCCATTGGCGAGGCTCATGGACATGGCAGATGATGCCTATGAAGGGGCTGATGACTTCACCCCAGATATGGTGCGTGAGTGGGCACGGGATACCCGAGAGTGGGCACAGAGGTGCTTCTGTTTCCTCGGGAACACTAATGTGGCCCTCTCTTCGGAGAGGCGCCGAGCAGCACTTTTACGAATTGACGACAAGCTTGTCAAACAAAGAAAAGGAAATTGGGGGAAAAAAAAGCTCACTATTTTCCCCCACTATTGGGGGAAAAGGAATTGGGCCCTTTGGCACAGGGCAAACTGTTTGGAGAGGCCTTCCTTACTGAGCTTAATAATAGGGTCAATATATTCACATCCCTCAATAAGGCACAAACGTCAATGCGGAAAGTATTCCGCGGCCCCAACACCTGAGGTGTTTTTGGGAGGGCTGGTCGGCAGAGGGGCCGTGCCACCAGCCGCTTCTGGCCATCCGGCCCCCGCACAACCAGGACACAACCATTCTACACGGATTCATCTGCCCGCCATCGATTCCATCAGTTTAGGGGATCGGATCGGACCGTGACCGTGGCGGCCGAGGCCGCTCCAGAGCGAGATTCTCCAACGGTAAGTCACCATTCTATTCTTCCTCTAACCCCTTGCCATATCGCAGGTCGTGTTCCTCTTTTTTTTCCAGAACTGGGCAGACCTATCCTCCGACACATGGATACTTCGGACGGTGCGGGGCTATCAAATAGAATTCGAGATGATGCCACTCCAACAGACCCCACCACGCCCGATTCAATTTTCACGGGCGGACGCTTGTTTGATAGACTCGGAACTTCAGGACTTACATTCCAAGGGTGCCATCCAACCAGCTCCAACCCTCAACTGGGTTCTACAGCAATATCTTCCTGGTCAGGAAGAAAACCGGGGAATTCCGACCCGTCATCAACCTCAAGGAGCTCAATTCCTACGTGGTGTACCGCCACTTCAAAATGGAGGGTACCCAACTTCTCCGGGACCTACTGCGAGACAACGACTGGTTCACGTGTCTAGACCTAAAGGACGCATACCTCACCATCCCCGTGCACGAAAGGAGCCGCTCATATCTCTGTTTCTACTGACACGGGACACCTTGGCAATTCACCTGTCTCCCGTTTGGCCTCAGTTCGGACCCCATGGTGTTTCACCAAAATGATGAAGTCGGTAATGGCGAGACTGAGGGCCCAAGGCATAAGATGCATTGTCTACCTCGACGACATCTTGATATTCGACGAGGATGCAAGGACCTTAAAGAGGCACACAAACTACACCTACTCGACTCACTGGGCTTCGTTATCAACGGCCCCAAGTCATCACTGACTCCCGCTAAGTCGGTCGAATTCCTCGGATTCGAGATAGACTCAACATCGTGCACTCTACGCCTTCTGGCCGCAAAAACTGCCACCATCTGCAGGGAAATTCGGAAGGTACTTCGACTGACATCCATACCTTTACGGCTGCTGGCACGGATCGTGGGCCTTCTCTCGTCATCCATCCAGGCCATCTTTGCTGGACCCCTGCATTACAGAGCCATGCAACACCTCAAGGCAAAGTTCCTTTGCAAAAACCCAACATACGACCAACCGGTCCCTATATCGGACGAGGTTCGGGAGGAATTGCACTGGTGGCTGAACTGCATGCAGGCCTGGAACGGCCGGGCAATTTTCTGAAACCAACCAGACTTCATACTGGAGTCAGACAACAGACGGCACCTCCTCCACGGGTGGAGTGTGGACTCCCCAAGAACTTTCGATGCACATCAACTATCTGGAACTCCTGGCAGGATCGTTCGCGATTCGCAGTCTGGCAAAGGAACGATCCAACTGCTGCATCCTGCTCCGGATGGACAATGTCTCGGCGGTAAGATACATCAACCGACTCGGAGGAACCCGCTCCAAAGCACTAGTAGAACTCACAAAGGAAATCTTTGATTATTGCCTGCCTCGCAACATCACGCTGTTAGCGGAACACCTACCAGGGGAAACCAACACGACAGCGGATTGGTACTCACGCCACTTGAGGGACGCCTGGCAACTAGACCTTCATATTTTCATGATTCTGGATGCACAAAGGGGTCCCTTCTCCCTGGATTTATTCGCCTCCCGCAACAACCGTCAGACGAAGGACTTCTTCAGTTGGCTCCCAGATCCGGAGAGTCTAGCAACGGACGCGTTTCCGCAACAGTGACCACAACACGGGGCTTTCGCATTCCCTCCATTCTCAATGATTACGAGGGTTCTTCACCGAATTCGCATGCAGAGGGTGATACTGACCCTCATCACGCCTCTATGGCAAAGCCAACCATGGTTCCCGGATCTTCTGGAACTGTCGAACAGCGATCCCCTCCTCCTACCAGATACTCCGACTATTCTCAGGAACCCGATGGGACTACCCCATCCGCTGGTCAGGGAGGACCGGCTCCCCCTGGTGGCCTGGACTCTTTCAGGGGTTCCTTGCGAACCGTGGATTTATCGCAGGAATCCTATGGAATTCATGGGCGCCAGGAACAAGAAGGTGCTACTTATCAGCATGGCACTGCTGGAGAACTTGGTGTGTGGGACGGAATCTCAATCCCTTTACGGCACCTATTCCTTCCATCATGAATTTTATCACCTCTCTGTTCACAGCAGGGAAATCATACCGGTCCATCAACGTGATACGTTAAGCCATCTCAGCGGCTCATACGCTGACTCAAGGGACACCAGTGGGCCAGAACCCACTCATCTGCAGACTCCTCCGCGGCGTGCGCCTTCGGCGCCCCCCTGAGCCCAAATACTCCAGATTTTAGGATGTTGGCATAGTCTTACAGTTTTTACGGGACTGGCCTCCTAACGAGAACTTATCACTTCGCCAGCTTACGGCAAAATTCACCTTCCTACTCTGCCTAGTCTCCTTTCGTCGGGTGTCCGATGTACGGCGCTTTTGACTCAGACGCATTTACCTTTTGTCCAGCGGGAGTAATCTTCCAGGTCTCTAGGCGCACAAAGTCTGACTCTGTTTTTTACCCCTTTTTTCCCTCGGACCCTCAGCTCTGTGTGGTCTCTACTCTTCGTAGATATGTAAAAAAGCTACCGCGACGTTGCGGCCTACTTCCAATCGTCAACTTCTCATCTCTTACGTCCGCCCCTACGCTCCAGTCTCTGTCACTACGTTGGCCAGATGGGTTAGATGGCTCTTAGCCCTTGCCGGGATAGACCAGGCTTTTGGAGCACACTCAGTTCGAGGGGCCGCAGCCTCTTCCGCTTACGCGGCAGGGGCCTCCCTTCCAGATATTTTACGAGCAGCGGACTGGACTAGAGAATCCACCTTTAGGACCTTCTACTTCCGTCCTCCATCTAATCCAGCTTTTGCTCTACTTTCTCAGCGTTGAAAGTGCAAAATACGAAGCCTCCTGTCATGTGATAAAATTGAAGATTATGCTAGCTTCAGTGTACAGATAATCTTAATTTTAATAATGACAGGAGGCAAGAATTTTCCCTCCCTGCTCTCTTTCGCTCTTCCCTCCCTCTGTTTTCATGCATATTTCTATCTCTTTGCTCCATGTTATTGTACTAATGCCTAATCTGGGTTTTTTCTCACACTTACTACAGATATGCCATGTGGGTGGGATGGTTTAGTTAGCATCAATAGATGGGAGGAATGTATTCGCTCTATTTTAATAATGATGGTTTACTTAATCATAAGGGATAGACCGCTGATTGTTTTTACACAACCATATTTGGAATCTAATATCCTTTATATTCTCGTTTCAGTTTAACCAGATGAATCAGGACACTAAAGACTCCATTCAAGATGTCATCATCATCTTGTCATGGAAGATCGTCACTTGACATCAAGAAGTCTTCCCTTGGAGTCTATCTGTTTATGTTCAATTTTCATGTTATGAGTTATCTCTATTGTTATCCTGCATTGTGATCTTGTGATGTTGCATGCTTTAAGAGGAAATTATGTCATACGTTACACCTCTTATACTCTATACTGCATTGTGATTGGTTCTCAGTTATGTCACTCTTTTCTTTGCTGCTATGGAGTTAGTAAAGAAAAATACTCGCCTCCTGTCATTATTAAAATTAAGATTATCTGTACACTAAAGCTAGCATAATCTTCAATTGTGCTCTTAATAGTTGATAACATGAGAATTATGCTGACTGTTATTTACATCAATTATTTAGGTAAATGAGAAAAATATCATTTGCATAATAATTTGGAGCAGGGTGTAAGTGGAATACTTTTGCTGTTATTTTGCTGTGGATGAGATGTGCTTTATCATTTCAAAATGCATGTGCATAATATTAACGATCACATATGTATACTACCCGATGTTTGGTGTTTTTTTTTCATGTGTAGATTTTTTTATTTATTTTATTGATTTTGTGGTCTATATTAACTGGCAACAATATCAGACATTTCTTACAGTTCAGTTGTATCTACATTTGTTCATCAATTGGGCTCTATCATGTAACAAAATTGGCTCCTGTTTCATGGTGTTCAAAGGTCCAAGAATCTCAGAATAAATTCGTAAGCAAATACTGGAACTATTTTAGTCTGGAACTATTTTGACACTGACACAATTTTCATAATTGTGGCTCTGTATGTCAAGACAATTAATTTGACATGAAACAAAAAAGATGCATTAATTGAAGTGCATACTTTCAGCTTTAATTCAAGAGGTTGAACAAAAATATTGTATAAAACATTTAGGAATTGCAACAATTTTTATACATAGTTACCTTTTTTTAGTTTAAGTTTAACCCCTTCCTCTCCATCCAGCCCGGCGGGAGTATTAATTTTTAATACTTTATCGAGAATCCATGCAGGCAATGACTGCTTGAAGTCTGGAACACATGGACATCACCATATGGTGGGTTTCCTCCTTTGATGCTTTGCCAGGCCTTTACTGCAGCTGTCTTCAGTTGTTTGTTTGTAGGTCTTTCTACCTTACTCTTTGTCTTCAGTGAAAGGCATGCTCAATCAGGTTGGGATCAGGTGGTTGACTTGACCACTACACAATACTCCACTTCTTTGCCTTAAACAAAAGAAAAACTCCTGGGTTGCTTTCGCAGTATGTTTTGGGTCATTGTTCATCTATAAAGTGAAGTGACGTTCAATCACCTTCACTGAATCTGAGCAGACTATACATCCCTATACACTTCATAATTCATCCTTCTGTTTCTGTCACATCATAAATAAACACTAGTGACCAAATACCAAAGATCATTTGTTTATTTGCATTCACCCAAAGTGACTAATCGTGTATTTGGCCATAACCATTCGAATACCGAATATTCTGTCGAATGACCGACCACCCAGAGCAGGAGTGTGGCACCAATTAACACTCTTGACCTGTAAAAACCACAAACACCTCAACATGCCAATGGATTAACAGGGTGGTCGGTGTTCGTCTGCGCGAACATGTGGCAGCTGCCATTTTCTTTAGTCGAACAAAATCAGCGGTGTTTGGTCGTCGACCACGTGGAACTGATTTCGGCTACCTTTTTCCACGAACACCGCTGAATTTCTACCTTCCGTGTGTTCGACTAGAATCATACGAACAAGGCGCTAATTTGTGAGTTTATTCATCCGAACAATCTGCATCCATTGATGGCAGGCACGAACGGTTCCGTTAGTGTATTTTGCACTTATTATAAAGGGAAAATAGACCGACCGCATAGACTGAATTTGTGGAACTGCTTTGGGCAGAGAAATGTGCGAGCGGTCGGTCACATCCTGCTTTTTTATTAATTCCCGAACCACTGGTCCAATTCGAGCCATTTTTGGATATGTTTTTGCTCTGATTGTACTGGTTAGTAAAATGTTTTTGTTAAAATCCTATGCATAGTTTTAGAGTTATGGAAAATGTGAAAAAGTATATATTTTTTTAAATGAATCCCAATCCAAAGTTTTCCCTCCAATTAGAGAGATGTATGTAACAAGTAAGTGCCAAAACGTGGATAAAATAAGATAAAAAGCAGCTCTATACACTTAGGTGGAAATATCCTCTAATCCACAAATTAAACATAAAACATATATGGTGGTGTTAGTGAAAAAACTAATACCTGTAAGTGGAGCACTGAAGTAAATATATAAAACTTTCCAAAAATGTTGGAAGTTTGGTGTAAAATACATATAAAAAAAGAACAAAAGGTACAATATAGTGCAGATGGTATTTAAAGGTGAAATCCGATTATGTAGTATAGCAAAGAGAACACTCACATGTAATGGAGCCTGTGTACATTACATGTGTATGGGATGGGGATGGCACTACCCCAATGAAGATTCCCGGAGGCTCCAAGAAGGGACTTGCATAGGATGTATAGATCAAAATAACAAGGATTTATTGGTGTACAATAACAAAATAAAAGTGTATATAAGTAATAAAAATCCTTTAAAATTGGCCAATACGCGTTTCACTCTCAAAAGTAGTGCCATCCCCATCCCAATTGGCACAGCACCTGTACACCTCAGAGCCGGGACCAGTAGGCTCTGAACTAGGTGAGCACCCAATTGACATTTTTATATTTCTTTTTTTTTTTGTAAATCTTTCTTTTTGTTGTGCGCAGGTTAACAATACACGCTTGTCTAGCCACGACAGCTTTCACAAGCTTAATAATCAGAAACAATGTTAGTATGGCATTTCAAATAACAGCGCACCTTTTTTAAAGGACCACTCTAGGCACCCAGACCACTTCAGCTTAATGAAGTGGTCTGGGTGCCAGGTCCCTCTAGGATTAACCCCTTTTTTTATAAACATAGCAGTTTCAGAGAATTCTCATTGACAGCCGCTAGAGGCGCTTGCGTGCTTCTCACTGTGAAAATCACAGTGGGAACACGCAAGCGTCCATAGGAAAGCATTATAAATGCTTTCCTATGAGACCGGCTGAATGCGCGCGCAGCTCTTGCCGCGCATGAGCATTCAGCCGAAGAGGAGGATCGGAGGTGGAGAGGAGGAGGAGAGCTCCCCGCCCGGCGCTGGTATAAAGGTAAGTTTAACCCCTTTCCCCGCCATCCAGCCCGGCGGGGCACCCTCAGGGCACTATAGTGCCGGGAAAATGAATATGTTTTCCTGGCACTATAGTGGTCTTTTAAATTACTAGTAGAAACATAAGGAAGATTAGTCAAGCATCCAGTAACATATAGTCAGACAGTAATTTGAACACAAGATAGAGAAAACACTTTGCTCAATGAGATGTATATGATGGTTCTGCACATTTTCAATAGGTAGTTATGTCAAGCCCCTCTTTTTTATACTATTACAGTCTACACATTGGTCCACCTTTTCCCCTTATGTCTTGTTTCTGAGAATCATTCCAAGCCGAAGTGGAAAGGTGGTGCTGCCATATGAGCACATAGGCCTTATTACGGAGCCAGTACTTGTACACAGGCTCCATTACATGTGGGTGTTCTCTTTGCTATACTACATATCAGATTTCACCTTTAAATACCATCTGCACTATATTGTACCTTTTGTTCTTTTTTTATATGTATTTTTATATGTATTTTACACCAAACTTCCAACATTTTTGGTAAGTTTTAAGTATATTTTTTAGCTTGGAGATAATTGAGCTAACGATTAACTCAATTATCTCCTAAGCACAGGGGAGGAATGTACTGTAATTAATGGATGTGCTTGTACTGTAGATCTGTAACTGATTGGCTGCTGTATTTCCATTGTCACTGCCCCACCAGGTCCATGACTGTGCTACATCTCCAACATAGCTCAGATGATTCTGTGGACATGCAGTGTAGACGGACCTCTGTCCTATACCAGCAGGCGATTCCTTTATAGTTGAGTTCCTGAATCTTAATGTCTACAGTACCTTGGTGTACTCTGTTCCCATGACGATATATCTCGCTGGAATATTCTGCATAGCCAACAAGATAGAGGTGTAGAGATTTGAGAGCAGGCAGGTGTTCTCTAGAGGAACATAGGATCTCAAATGGTGTATTGAAATCTGTTTAGGTCTGTCATGGTTCCTCTGTCCACTAGATCTGTAAGTGGTTTTAGGCCACAATTATCGCACCACTGTTGTAGGTATAGCCAGTCAGATTTTGTGACATCGCACATGCCTGAGGATGAGATACTACCCGCCACTGCCAGGAGTCAATGGATTGGTGCAACATACTTCTGGAACACCATACCTTCATCGTTGCGCCCACAAAAGGGTGCTCCAACACGGGTTTGTTCTGTAAAGCAGTGGTTTCCAAACTAGTCCTCAAAGCACGCATACCATTCCTGGATTTAGGGATTATCCAGTTGTTGATAATCACCACAAGGTGTTTTTTGAAAGAATACCTAAATATTCGATTCACGATCTTATGGACTCAAGATCGGCAGGAAATTTTCAGCGTACAGTTGACTCAGGGGTGGGTGGGTAGGGAAGTGCATGAGAGCTCCTCTGGTGAGCACTGGAAATCATGAAAGGTCAAGGGGTAGCATATGGGTGCCAAATCCCGTCGTCTGAAGCATGGATAACAGGAACTGCCAGTCCACCCAGTCGAATGCTTTTTCTGCATTGGTAGAGAGAAAGACTCTGCAATCGGATCCCTGTGCCCCAAGCATGATGTTTATGGCTCTTATTGTATTGTACTTCGCCTCCCTACCACGGATGAATCATATCTGATCAGGATGGACTATATCCAGGAGCATTCTGGCTATCCTTAGTGCCAGTACCTTGGCAAACAACGTCAGGTCTGCATTAAGGAGAACAAGGAAGATCGGGCGGTAGCATGAACAGCAGGCCAGACACCTGCCTTCCTTATGCAGTAAAGCTATTGTGACCTTGAGTGAATTGTTCAGAAACTGCCCACCCTTGAGCATGGAGTTCAGGCCCTTCAGTAGTCTTGTGAGGAGAATATCGCTGAAGGCCTAGAGGTACCTGGCCGGAAACCGATCTGGGCCCAGAGCTTTTTTCAATTTAGAGATTTTGAGAGTTGACTGGAGTTTCTCTAGTGTTATTGGCTCTTTTTTATTTCGTCAGCTGTTTCCTGGGATAGCAATTTCACCTTATGCTGTGATAGGTAATCCTTGATTAGATGCAATCAGGACAGTAGGTCTTGTGTGTATTTGTAGTTTTATATAAATCCATGTAGAATTGATTAAATGTATCCACTATTTTATCTGGAAGTTGTGTGACGGTTCCCCTTTTGGTTTTGATCGTCACAATATACCACAGACAGCAGGGGTTATCTATTCCTTCCCTTTTTGGGAGAAACTATGTACAAAATCCATACAGATCCAAACTGCTTCTTCAAAGTGAAACATACTAGATTAAGACACTTGACACTATGCATCCGAAGGGATTCAATGAATATATCTCCTTCAACTCATTTTTTGAATACACGTTAATCCACGTATGACAACTTAGTACTTCTTGATCCACTTAGCCATTTTTTCATTCTTGGTGCATTTGATCAAATTTTTCCTTTTTTTTTCCTTCTTTTTCTTTTTATAGTTCATATGTATATTTTTTACAGATTATATTTCATGTTTTATTTACATTCTTGTCTCTATATTTATTTTTTTGTACTTTTATTTTTACTCCTATTTTTATTCTTAATTTTAGTCTTTATTTTCAGCTTTAATTTTATTCTTATTTTTATTTTCAGGAGGAGGTATAGTTCCACTTTACGAGTCGTGGCCGGATATAGTAGGCTGCGATAGTAGCCTGAGTTCGGCTGCGATCTTGGGTATGGTCTCGACTGGGGTGCCTGGTCTGGCTGGGCTGGAAATTCTGGCTGGGGTGCTGGGTAGGGATTTCAGAAGCGTGTGCCATTCTAGAACACAAATACACACATTAGGAGTTATGATTCTTTAAGGAGAAGAGTATTATCAGACGAGTGTTTGGCTTGTTCATTGAGGGTGAGATCCCTAAATTACATAGGAGGGATGGAGGTGCTCTTAACTGACTATTGAACGTTTTACCCATGATGGAGGTGGGCGGAGCGGTATCCACCTGTGAGGACCGAATAAGCGTAGTGTCGTGAAACATGGTTTTAACTATGATGTGAGGAGGTCATTGCCTCGGTGGCGTGTCCGATGGATATATGCGAGGGGCAGGGGCGTGATCTAGAACTGTAATTAAATGGTGCCACCGTGGTGGCCTAGTTACCTGTTGGTCTATCAGGTGCGTGGTCTGACAGGGGGTGATTTCTAGCGGGAATTAGATGGAGAATGAAAAAAGATACTTACTTGTGGCCAACGAGGTTGTGCGTGTTCTCTGGCTTAAAGGTTGGTAATAACATTCTTTGCTGGAATGGTGCGGCAATCAAGTTACCTGGGATGGCTTTGGAGACCTAAGATTAGGTAAAGTAAATCGCTGGTACGGCGCGTGTGAACATGACCGTGTGGGGAATGTATTACCTGATTATAAGAAGACTGGTAGTAGTGGATCCGATGTTCGTGGATTATGGGTTGCCATGGGAGGCCTAGGTAACGAAGATGGTGAGTATTGCCACCGAAATACTATTTTTTAAAAATATATATTTTTTATTTTTGTATTTTTTTTACTTTACTTACCTGGTCTTTATACTGGGAAGGTATTCAACGAAAGTGGCAAGCCTAGATTAGGTAGTGCCTAGCTGAAATACATGTATGAGGAATATAATGAGCGAATTTGCAGGATCTTATGGTGATGATACCACGTTAGCTGCTTGTATACACCCTTTCAGATGTGTGGCCCTCAAAAAAATTAAATCCCCCCCCCCACCCTCCCTAGAGCCAGGTATTTATATAGGTATGGTCTATTTGTGGTTAAAATTGAGCGCCATGGACCTCGAGGGGTAGCTTGTGAGGGTGATGGGAGTGACTGGTCACCTGTGTGTTGACATAGCACGATCATGTGTGTGTATCACTGTTATCCTAGCGGTACCTCTTCGTGTAAGAGGTGATTAGAGCGAGAGGTAAGCATACCGTGGCGCCAGTGTTACTGGCATTTACCGGGGGGGAGGGGTGTCGCGGTTGTCCACGTGTGTCTAAGCCCCTTTTGCCCTGGCCCGTGATTGGAGGGCTGCGACACCTGGAAGAACCTATGTGCCGGGTAAAAATTGAAGTGCATCGGTCGGGGGAGCTGTACTCAAGTTGCCCGGTAGTGCTCGTGGTCCGGGTGCTTCGCCATGAGTATCGATGGGAAAGTGACTGCAGGACCCGAAAGCAAGTTTGCTGGAGTGCCGGCGGGTATGGGAGCCCTTCAAACGTCAGAGCTGATGGTGGCTGCGAGTAGTTGGTAATCATTCCTGCTGATGGGGACGCTGCCGAACCGGAAGTAGACGCAAAGGAGTCTGTGTCAATCTCGGCCCTGATTAGACGGAAGTCTGAGTTTAAAACTGGGCAGGTTAACCCCTCCCACAACTACAGGCTCCGCCTTAATATGTATATGTAACAAAATTCACTTAGAATGACATTATATATACAGTATATACTAGAGTATAAGCCAAGTTTTTCTGCACTTTTTTTTGTACTGAAAAACCCCCATTCAGCTTATACTCGAGTCAATGTTTGTATTATGGCAACTTATATTGCCATAATACAGACCAGGACCGCCGGGCTCATTGCAAGCCCGGTGGTCCTGTTGGGGGCTGGCAGCGAGCTGTTACTTACATTCCTGCAGCTCCTGTCAGCTCCCTTCACCTCCCTGCAGCTCCGTTCTGCTCCCAGTGTAAATCTCGCGACACCAGCGGCCATCAGAGCGTTGCCACGGGTTACCGCGCGGCACACACACCGCGAGGTTTACACTGGGAGCAGAACGGAGCTGACGGAGGTGAAGGGAGCTGACAGGAGCTGCAGGAAGGTAAGTAACAGCTTGCTGCCAGCCCCCCCCCACTGCACAGGCCATCCACTGGACCACCAGGGATTCACATAGCCCCCCTCCCTGACCAGGCAACAAGCAGGGAGGGGGGACAAAAAAGTAAAATAAAAAATAATACAAATATTAAAATAAAATAATATAATAATAATATTAAAATAATATTAACCCCTTAAGGACGCAGCTTCAAAAACTGGACTAACCCTTAAGGACACAAGCATTTTTTGCACTTTTTGCTGTTTGTGTTCAACCTCCGTTTGCATTTTTATTATTGATTACACCAACACATGTTAAATATCGTTTTTTAAAGGACAAAAAGGGCTTTAATCTGATGTGACATACACATATATAAATTCTTATTTATTATAAAAAAGAGGAGATGAATGGTATACCAGCGGAACCAAAAGGGGACACCCCGAAGATATACTTACCACTCACATTCCACACAAATTTGTAAATCCATTGATAGACACTGGGACATGCTGGGCGCTGACAAACAGTTGTCTTCTATATTTCGTGAGAAACCAATCACTAGTTACAAAAGAAATAGAAATTTAAGGGACATTCTAATTCGGAGTGACCCTAC